AAAAACGTTGTCAATTAATGGAGCATGTAGTACATATAGATACATATATGTATGCGTGGGAAATGCATTTTCATTTGACTCCAAAACTATTGGGGCATATTAGTAGACGAAATAAGGTCGACTCTTAAGTTAAAGTTTGTCAGTCCCAATAAAGAAGAAAGTTAGTATGTACTTACATACCTATATGTAATATTAAGTGCAGGTGCAAGAACGTTATCAATAAATGATTTTGGAGTATGTGTATGGGGTACATATTTACATATGTAAGTACATACATACATACATTGAGCTGCCATCAACAAATGATGTTTATTTATTTTTAATGATTGTCATTTAAAATATAATTCAATCTGGAACAGAAACCACAATAATAAAAGTTTAAAAGCTTGCACAAATTGCAAAAAAATGAATCAACCTTCAAGAAATGGTCATCCAAATTTTTTATTTGAATATTTAATATATTTTCGGGTATGCTGTATTGTAGTCCATTCAATTATATTATAAGATTTTTTTGTTGGGGTGTTGCTGTTTATTTTTCATACAAAAAAAAATTTGGTTCATGTGTTATATGGAAGAAAATGCGAACACCCTCCACAAATAAAAAATTCTAAGAGATCAACGGTAATTTTTAACGACTAGAAACTTGGACTTTAGTGTACTTGATTGAATGGACTGCAATACTGCATACCCGAAAATTTTCTAAATATTCTAATTAAAAAATTTTGAAATTTTTATAACAATTTTTTGAAGTTTGATTTATTATTTTGCAATTTGTGCAAGCTTTTAAACTTTTATTATTGTGGTTTCTGTTATAGATTGAATTATGTATGTTTTAAAGGAAATTATTAAAAATAAATAAATAAACATAATTTGCAAACAATATCATTTTGAATTTCGTTGCTAATTAGTTGATCGCATCTGTATGTACACTACAAGCATCCATATGCGCATGCCTGGGAAATGGATTTGCATTTGACTCCAGAACTATTATTCACAAATAATATCTACGAGTATTGCAGTAAAAGTCAAAAACAACTTTGAAGTTAACAAGTGTATTGCTTTGTACATTTTTTTGTTAATGCGTCCATCTTTAAAATAAGTATGTGAAAAAACCAAGTTTATCATTTTTTGTAACTAACATGCATTTTTACTATTTACATAATATAATACTCGTACAAGAAGCGAACTTGAACAGATGCTTTTTAATTTTTTAGCAACATTAACTACTGAATAAATTATATTTAACAAATGGTCATGCAGAAATGCAAGTCAGCTATTTTAACTAATATAAAAGTACATTTAATATAATTTAACTATATTAATTTATTTAATTTTATTAAAAAAATATACATGAATACGTTTCTGCATTCACATGCAACCTAGCAACACAGCCAGACACTTGCAAAAAATATAACATTATCATAACAGAAATTTACATTTTTCTCTGTTAACTCTTCTTGAAATGTTAATCGCGCTGTGGTGATATTCCATGGATTTATTTTTCAGCCAAACAATTTTACGTTCCAAAAATTTGCACCTTCTCTATCTATCTAAGTTCTCTGATTCTATCACCACATCTCTTAAATAGCGGCAAATCAGCTGCACTTGATAGTAGTTGGTTGAATAA